CACTTTAAGTTTTGGGCAGCCGGCCGTGGTTGTGACGCCCAAAAGTGCTTGCAAACCCAAAGACAAACCACGACAAGCCAAACTGACTTTCTCTTGAAGGCCTTGCGGGGCTGGTGTGCTGCTTTAGCGCTCCTCGTAGCTGCTTTAGCGCTACAAGCTTGCGTGCTTCGGTCCAGCTGGGCCTTCTTGCTTATAATGCTCATGATCCCTCCGTGGTGTGGACATTTCGCATGTTCATACCACTGGGGGTTGTACAGTTCCGCGATGTACAGGCTGCTGGTAGTTACTCGCTGTGTATAGGCGCTTGCTGCTGCCACGGTTCTAGGAAGAACCTCAAAGTTCTCTTCTGCGAGACCCTCTCTTGACGGCTCTGGGCATCTCCAGTCTGAACTTCTGTGGTGCCAGGTGCAGCTTCGACATGCCTGCATGCCCGTTGATATTCGTGGCATGTCGAAACACTCACCTGTCCTGCCTACGCTTGGTCCAGAGTCACCGTCCGTGCAACAGCTTTGCCCCGCTACTTTCGAGTGCCGGGGCGAAGCTTCCGTAGACAGGTAGTCTCTGTAGATCAGTGTAGCTGTAGTTAGTTTCTGGCCTTGGAGCTGCGACCTTTTTGCCCGCACGGAAAGAAAATCCCATTTGACCTTGGATGTCCTGATGTTTTCGGCATGCCTGAAGCTGTGAGGAGTGCTTTTGAGTTAGGAAGTGACTGCACGTTCGTTTCGTCTCGTTTCGTTAGTGCTTGAAGTGTTTTTCTTGGAGACAGACAGCTGCAAGGTGTTTCACTGTCAGTCAGAGCCCGACGCGACTCCGCTTTGGCTCAAGAAAAAGACCGAGTGCTGCGCGCTCTGTTTTTCACACTTCCACACTTTTTGTCGACACAGCTACAAAAATTGGCCTGCCTGCGGCTCTCTTCCATCTCCGTCCCACCAGTTTGCTTCGTGCTCTGATGGCGTGCTCACGAGGATTCTGGCCTTACAGCAGAGCTTCGCAGCCAAAGTATTGCTTCCGTCTCCAGGCTTCCGACACGGCCTGCAGCCAGCGCGTAGCTACTTTGAGGCTATCATTCCGCAGGACGACTTTGCGCACCTTTCAGCCACGGACAGATGACAACAGCTCATTGAAGGTCCTGTTTGTGCAACGACTTTTCGGAAATTATGCAGAAGACTTCTATCTTGCTGCTAGCATGTAAATCGAAAATCAGCCTCTGAATTTCGGCGCGCGCGTGATGTATTTTATCGATCGTGCACTCATGCTGTACACGCCTAGTGAGGCGTTTCGACATGCCTCACACCCTTTTTTGCAGTTTCATTGCTCTTGCTCAGTTCTGTGACCGGTACTACGGCTGCCTGAAGGTCGAGTATTTGATCTTTCGCTACCTGCTCCAATGCTCAGCGACCCGCGGCGATGGACGTTTTTTTTTTTTGGCTTGACTGATCTCGCTCTGGTACACATGGACGCTGCCTAGCAGAAACAAATCAATGTTACAAGCGGTGAGGTGGGATAAAGTCAGCCGCTGGAGGCAAAGATCACCAGTCTTCCGCTCGAATGTGCCACCATAATCCAAAATCGAATACCAGGTGGTAGTGCACTAAAGAGGTGCCGAGGGCATGGAGAACAAGAAAAAAAACTCAACGACGTATGTTGTCAGTCGCAACGACTTCCACAGGGAAACTGCGATCTCAGACAGTATGAATCCTCTGATTCTATTGGTTCCACCAGAGGTGCAAGCCGAGTGAGGCTATGGGGAGGACATATGCGACTAGAGCTGGCGAGTTTGTCAGGTTCCAAGAGGACGCGTGCGTCTCCCTAATTGTCGTACTGCAGGCTTTGTGCTCTGGACTATCGACTACCATTCAGCAAAATATGTCAAAGAGTGCCTTGGTGGGCAGGGCTGGGTTTGGTTATCTCAGCGCCGCATGGAAGGGCGTCGGTTTTGGAACGTGAATTTACTTGTTCAGTATGTGCATTGCATTTACAAGCATGCTATAGTGCGTATTTGTTTTGGTACACACAGTATGTTTGGAGCACGGACACATATTTGAATGTGGATAGCACAAAATCTAGTGTTTTAGATGACTTAGTGGTAGGATTGTTTTCTGCAGCTGTTTGCATGCAGCATCGTTACATTTTGCTCGCTGGCAGCCTATATAGACGCCATGCTGGGCATGCATGCATGCATGCATGTTTCCCGTTGCAGCTTGTTGCTCAGACTTGCAAGTGCTTGCGAGATCGGATCTTGAAGACTTTCACCAGTGCCATCATCATGTCGATGATGATCGCTCCAAATGTGGATGCACGAGTCACCGAACTGCTGGCCGGTGCTTCCACCGGCGACAAGCTTGTCAACACGGTGCACCACATCATGGTGTTGTCGCGAGAGCATGGCCTCGTCACTTCGATGCGATTGCTGCCCTCAACAGTGCAGATGTGCACACTCTGCTTTCGAACCTACTGGGGGTAAGCTTCGTTGCAAATGTTTGTTGCATCGCCTGCAGGGCTATTATTTGTTGCATGCATGCACGTGAGTTGTTTTTGGGTGTGTATTGAAGTTTTGTAGAACAGGTATTGGCAAGTTCTTGGCTGAGACAGAGCAGTATGTGAGGCTTTACGACAGCTCGGAGGCGGTCTGTCATGAAATCAAAGGCAGCAAGAACCGGGCGGCCGTCTTTCGACACGGCTTGCTCAAATCGGCTTTGACAGGCATGCACATGAGTGCGATGGAGGTGAAGCGAGTTTTCAGCAATACCTCCATGGTTGGCAAGGCACTGAAGGCCGATGGTCTGATGTCTGAGCTGCGACGGCTGGTTGGCTCTCATGTAAATCTAAATGACAAGGCTTGGAAGCATCGTGCACGCCATCCTGGTCCCAACTGCATCGGCAAGTGCTGCCAAACCGGTAGATCGCCTGGTCGAGCTCAATTCGGATGGATCAATGAAGACCAGGGGCGATTCTGGAAGGCATGAGGATTCTCGTGGGCTCATGTGTAAAAAATGGAGTGCCAAATTCTGGCAATCCATAGTGCTGTGAAGCTCAAGAGCCTGGCCGACGGCCGGGCGCTGAGAGCTCCGATCGACTCGTTCGTGCGAGGTGAATGGCAGATCTTCACTCCCAAGGCAGAAGTTCATGAGATCGAGGATCTCGTTCCATTCGCATGCTCTGGTTGACAACCATAATATGCATGACACGACGGCAAAGTTCGCCCCACCAAACTGCTGGCGAAGACGGCTGTGGCCAAGGCCAAGCTCATGCTGGCACCCTTCACCACGAAAGTGGTTTCCCGAACCAGCAGCGAACCTGAATTTGGGTGATCTGGGGCATAACGCAGCCAACTTCTTCTGACTTGGACGGACTGGTTAATTCGCGAGTGTGTTCTTCGGATTTGAGATGCTTTTGCGCAACAAAGGCTCGCAGGTTTGTGGTCCGGCATGTGTTTGCACGAAGACTCCGAGCTCATGATGCGAGAAAGGTGCACGCATTTTTTCATTTTTGTTCGCAGCTCATGTTAAAGATTCTCACCGAAAGCCACAGGCGTGATTTTTTGTTTTGACTCGTCGTAAATTTGTTGTTTCACCCTGTGCAGGTCAAAGAATGCTCTTTGGCTTGCGCTCTTGTTGTCTTGTCTTGAGGCTGCTTGAAGAAAGCGAAAGCAGCACGCGGGCTGCAGTAAGAGCAGCAGGCATCTAATTTGGATTTTTAAAAAAGTGGAAGGAGCATTGCGGAGGTGCGACTGTGCAAGAGTGGCTGCAGGCCTTACTTGCAATTGCATCAGCCATGGAAGCTGGCACCAAGTGGACATTCTTTGTTACAGTTGGAATGCATCAAGGTTGGTGGCTCGTTGGATGTCTTTTAGCAGGTTCTTCAAATAGATTTTTTTTTGGCGTCCGCGGGCCTCGGTGGCTGCAGCTGCAGCGCTCGGTCAAAACAACGAGCGCTGAGTCTTCGACCGTGGCCCAGCTCTTTCAATCCAGGAGGTTGAGATTTAAGGACCTTGGTATCCGTGAAAAAAACCAGTAGAAGACACGACCTCACATATCGTGCAGTACAACAGCGCAGCAGGAGACTTCCGGTTTGTAATAGTTTTAGTTGCGCTACGTGTGTGCCATCGGTGGATCACGGGCCGGGGGAGCAAATACAGATATATGTACATGTATAGTTATCGGTATACGTCTGCGTATACGTATGTGTGTGTGTATGTATATGTACATGAATATAAAAAGAAATCTTGCAAGTGAGTTGAAGGTCATGTAACATAAGGTTGTGCAGGTATTGCAAGTTAAACAGATGTTTTTGCAGCCAGTGTCAAATAGTGTAGGGTGTAGGGTGATGTAAAATGATGGAAGATCAAAGATGCAAGTCAAGATAGTAAGGTATGGCAAGGCAACATCATGTAAGGCATTGTAATGCAACACAAGGCAGTGTCGTGTGGCGTTGCTTCGTCTCGTTTAGAGTAGAGTAGCGCGGCGCAGTGCAATGCCGAGTAATGTAGCATACGGCGAAGGTAGTGTAGTGCAACGCAACTTAATATTGTGTCATGTAGTGAGTAGTGAGAAAGCGGACTGAACAACAAAGCATGCTGCAAGAAGAGCAGTTTTGTTTCGGCAGCATGTGCATAACGTGTATCGGAGCCTTTTGGTCGTCGTTACTCATGCTCCGCGTTGTCAGTCGCGATGCGCTTCAGAAGGCGCAGCATGTGGTTTTATTTTCAGGAATGGGAATGTCAGACAACAAGTTGTGTGCGGTGGTCCGAAACTTAACTTTGTCTTTGAGTGCTTGTCCATTGAATCATTGGGGGCACCGTCTTGGCTCGAAGCATACGATTCTATGAATGAAAAGTCGGGCACCTAGTCCTGGAGTAGGTGTTGCTTTTAGGCCGAGTGTTTAGCGTTTTGGCATTCCATGCGTTTGTGAACAAGAACGGCCCGGCAGCAGTTGACTTAGTACTGAGCAGAAGATGTCGTACCCCAGTTGTTTCATTCTTACGGGCAGCATTAGCTTCGATGCGTGTCATGCACAGATGGCTGTGGTGGCTGTGCGCCGCGACTGCGCAGCTTATACAAAATGTGCCACGGACTGTTCACACGCGTGTGGGCATTATGAACGAGTCGCCAACTCCAGGGCCATGGGTTGTGTACGAACTGCGATTGTATTATTCGGCAAACTGCGACGAAGCTAGCCGGATAGTCCCATTTTTCGCTGACGTTTACCATTCAGGAACGCATCGAGAAACCGAATTCGAGACGATAGGGTCCAACGTGTTTGATGGAGCTCCCTGGACCAACTGGACATCAGATTGTCGGGTGAATGCAGGCGGCTGTGATGCCAGGACAGTGGGCGTGGGAGTCGACATCTCCTCATCTGGTGGCTATGAAGCTGCAGCCTTGAGAAAGGATGATTTATGGAACGTGACCGGCCCGTTGTTCGATGCGATCACGGTCAAATGTTTCATGATATGGCAGAGCAAAGACCCAAGGTACAAATGCAATGACATTGCAATTGTTAGAGGGTATCCGGATCGCAACTCCCACATTTACGAAAGTGTTCAAGTGTTCCATGGCGTCAGTGGTGGAGACTGGGCCAGGCGTCCGGCAACCCTAAACACCATGTGGCGCATGACTAACCTGGAGGTCACCATTGGCACATGGAGTCTTGCTGAGCTACGGTTCTATGAGGATGATCTGTGCACTTTTCCCTTGGATGGAGAAGCTTTTTCCATAGGGAGCGATTTCCCCCTGACAGAGAGCGATGTCAATGCCTTCGATAACAACATCACCAGTGTTTGGACGGCTAAATGCGATGATGTACCTGGATCCAGGGCAGCGGAGATCTGGGGGGATGGCTTTCGTTTCTACGGCTGTGAACCTGATCAGGGCTACATAGGTGTGGAATACCAGGAACATGTCAATGTGAGATGTGTTCGCTTTTTCCAGAAAGCTCCTCGGGATATCTCACAGAGAGAACAGAGGCGATCTTGGTCGGGAGGTTTTTCGTTGCAGCGATGGGCTGGAGAAGAATGGATAGTCACCGAGCAGTTCTGGGATCCTAACTACACCTCGTATGGAGGCTTCGCTCCCACGATTGCAGGACCATTTTTGGGGAATGCCCCGGGCGTCTGGGAAGATCTGAGGCCTCCGTCGTATTCTTGCTGGCGCTTGAGAAACGACGACACCATGCGTGGTCAGTGGAACGTCTTGGAACTGGAGTTTTCGGTTGATCGGTTTTGTGAGGACCTGCCGGATGGGAAGCTCAAAGGTTTCCCACTTGCGATGCAAGGCCCACGGAATTTTGCGAATCGCTACGCCTTCGATGGAGACCTCCGACAAGATCAAACCTGGAGATCAAGCTGTACGCGGGGTCCCCGTGGCGAGTCCTGCATTCCCGGCGAAGCATGGCTTGGATTGTACATGCGTGGCTCACAGCCCGACGTCAAGTGCTTTCGAATTCTGCAGCTGCTCGCCTGAAGTTCTCAATGTTGTCCATGTAAGAAGCCCGTAGTAAGGAAGTCGAAGAGTTCTTCACCCCTGTGATAAGGCGCTTGAACATGTAAGCACTTCTGCAAGGCTCTGTAGCATTTGATGGAGTTGGGCAGCTTTTTTCGTTTTTCGGCAGGTCGAAAGAGATCGAGGAGCAGTCTGCCTTTGTTACTCTAGACATGTATGTCGATGGAAACTGGCAGTTACACAGCTTCCAAAGGGAGATAGGAGGTGGCACATGGAATCGACGACCAGCCCCTCCCTTCACGCTTTGGCGCATCCGGAACAACCAGGTGATAGAAGGGCTGTGGCGCATTCCTGAAATTCATGCATATCGCGACCCACTTTGCATTGTGGAAATGACGCCAGGCAATCCGATTGCTTCGGGCTATGTCGGAACAGAAGCACCCTCGCTGGCTATGGATGGCGATGCCAAGACCCTTTGGACAGCTTGTACACATTGCAACGAGACGCGGAAGTATTTTATTGGAGTGGAGCTCCCTGCGAACGCCGAGGAAGCTGAATCCGAGCAGTTCTTCATTCGATGTTTCAAAGTCTGGCAAAGCGAGCAAATTCACGAGCAGATGGTTAGCGTGCAGGTCCAGATCTGGAATGGAGAGATCTACCTCATGTCGCCGATAACCCAGACTGGTTCACTCCACGACCTAGGTGGCGGCGTGTGGTCCAGACCGGCGGCTAGCTTCATGACTAGGTGGAGGCTAGTGCCGACTGCAGCAGAGGATCGCGACTGGCGCTTGCTTGAGCTCGAGCTCTATGCTGATTCCGAGTGTACCCGGCGACTTCCTAGGGCAGGTCTAGGCGGTGGTGGCACAACAGTCTTGGCTTCAAGCTACAGACCCTTTGTGACCGGCTTTCGACGATCCGAGCAAGACAAGCTCTGGTCGGAGGCCGAGTTGGTCACGGATGGCGATACGACCACCGGCCTCCTGCTGAACCATATGCCACGCTCCGCCTCCCGCTCCGCCTATGTCGGCGTCGACTTCTTGTCAGGCTCCATTTGGGTCAGGTGCGTGAAATTGATGCAGGGCTCCACGCCCTTGGAGAGTGTGTCCTCCCTGACCTTGCAAGTCTGGGATGGCAACCAATGGCGACACAACGAACCCGAGCTGTCGGAGTTTGAAGTTCACCTGGATGGTCTTGGAGGGGGTGGCTGGCAGCGAAGGCCTGCGCAGCCTGGCTCCATGTGGCGCGTGGAGAATGCGGAATACGTCCCGCAAGGCTGGGCGGTCTATGAAGTGGAGTTCTACGAAAGTGCAGATTGTGTGAATGGCAAGCTGATGGGAGAAGTAGTTGCAAGTGGTTATGCACCTCCTTTGGAGCAGAGAGGGCCAGGGCGTGCGGTAGACGGTAATGCCACAACGATTTGGATGTCGCAGTGTTGCCCCATGGATTCAACTGACCGACCTCTGGGCTTCGAGTTGGTCCGTCCGGAAGTCGGTTGTGATGTGGGTGACGCATGGGTGGGTTTAGATCTTGGAGCGACCACTTCTGTGCAAAATGTCCGGTGCCTCCGAATATTTCAAGCTGGCTATGAGCTGATGCAAAGCTCGTCTGCCTACGTCTCAAAATGGGACGGCTCCAGCTGGGTTCATTCTTGGCGCATGGATGGCCTGGGAGGCAGTGCTTGGAACAGGAGGCCAGCAGCTGGCAACACTATGTGGCGCCTTCTCTATGTGTCCAGAAAGAACGATCGATGTCCAGCACAGTTGGCCCGCCTTGTGGAGCGACCATGGGGTGTGGCGGACTTGAAATTTTTCAGTGATGATGATTGCGAAGTTATGGTGCCTGACGGGGTTCCAATTACCTCTGGCGGCTTTGACAGCTATCAGAGATCAGCAGTGGACCAGCCATCGTATGAAACAAGCCGGATGGTTGACGACGACCTTCTCACAACCTGGGCGGCCAACTGCAGAACAGGTTTTGATTTCGTTGACACCGAGCTCACAAACTGCACGGATGCCTGGGTTGGCATGCAATGGCCCGCAGCGCATGAGATCCGATGTGTTTCTTTAGTGCAGTCACGCTGGGAGTCAGCAAGATGCTGTGACGCAGCAGATGGGCTCATGCTGCAGCGCTGGAATGGCTCGGAGTGGGTCGAAGCTTCCTGGTTTCGTGATCCTCCACAAGCTGCAGTTCAATCAGAAACCAACACACGTCTGCCAGCACATTTGGGCGCTGAGTTCCGGAATGTTGGGGAATGCCCTTCCAGAGTGAGCGAGAAGCGCATGTTTGAAGAGACCATCGTCGAAACGCGCACTCGCAGGGACAGTGAGAAGTGCATCGTGCAACTAACTGGTGCAGTGACTTTGCTGGCCGAGCCTTACTGCATCAAGCATCCCCAGTGCGTGACTGTATTCGGGGCTGCAGGAACTTGCTGCCCCATAGGTGATCTCATTGCAAGTGAAAGCCGCTGCTGTTGCAGCTTCTTGAGCTCCGAGCCGATCTTTGCTGATGAAATCGATTTCAGTGATCCTCGCGAGAAGTTCAGCTTTGAGTTTGCCACGATATGGATGTCCAACATCCTGCCTTGGATCGGGCTTGCACTCACGATTGCCTTGTACCTTGCTGCTATCCTTCTGCCAGCCGACATGGAGGAGCGGGCCAGAAACTGGATCAAGATCGACATCGGAGGAAGCTCGAAGTCGGAACGGAGGCGCCTGTTCTGGAAGCGAGTTGTGGTGATCGCAGCTTGGCCCTTGCTATCCTGGCGGACTTTCTTGGCAAGTAGCACTACCCAGACCAGCAAGATTGTAAGATGGTTCATTTTACCAGACGGCCGGCTGCCAAAGCCGCTGGAACTGTACCGATCCTTGCTGTTTCTGGTTTTCGGGGCACTGCTGAGTGGCATGGCGCCTTGGCTCTTGATGGGGGCAATCTTCGGAGAAATGATGATCTGGGCGGCACTGCAGCTTTGTCAAGTGATCCGCTACTTCCAATCGCCTTTTGATCCGCTTGACCTCAGAGACATGCAGTTGCGCCAGGAAATATCCAAGGTCATGGTCACTAGTGACGCAACAATGGACACAGCATATGACATTGCAGCCGGGGTCGCTACAACTTGTGTGTTCGGCCTTGCCTACTTCGGCAAGTTCATCTTCGACCTTCTCATTGTTCGAGCGCAGATGCTGTCGTTTGAGGCCATTGAGAACATCGAAGCCGACCGAGTCGTAGAGTTGTTCCCCGGACTTCTGGAATCACTGCAGGAACCGGCGATGCTAATTTACGAAATTCTTTTTTGGGCTAGCCAGCTTATCTCTCTGCTTCTTGGCAACTTGGTTGGCATACCGCTTTGTGAAGGCTCCACGGCGCTGGTGGGGTCAGTTGCGCTGGTCATGATCCTTTATGGTGCCTCCCAGTGGCTAAACTACGATCTCTTCGGCCTCTTTGTCGCAGCCCGGCAGGTCGTCAAGGCGACTCGGCCAGAGTGCCAGCGGATCCTTGGCTTTTCTTACAGAGTGGGTATTTTATGTTAGCAATAGTACGGACATCATGTTCTTTGCGATAGATCCCGACTGTGGTAATTCACGAGAACCCAGGATCATGGCCCAATCTCTCATCTTGCTCTGCCTGGGAGCTTCGTTCGCGGCCGTGCAGATGACCATGGTCCTGTTCACCCGCGCCCTTGCCTTTGCGAACCCCTTTGTAGAATCCTCCTGGGTCTGTGGATACGATGACACCCTTGCCATCTTTGTAGGCCGTGTGCTGCTCTCGGGTTCTTCTATCGTTGGTTTGATCTTCGTCTTCCTCTGCGTGAACGGGCATTTCGTTGGCCAGGACTACATCACCGAGCGAGTCGCCCGATTCCTCGGGATAGATCTGGCTGCGCTAGATCCCGATGGGACTGGCGAAGAAGGGGGAATGTTTCGCTTTGATGTCTTCGGCGCCGCCCTGCCGACCTTGTTCGGAGTCTGGTGGGATCCGTGGAACATTGATGCATACTTGGTGCGAGAACGCGCTCATGTGTACTCCATGGAGCTTCGTGATCCTCAGGCCTGCAAGGTCTGCGACAAGATCCATGTGAAGTATGAGCTGATGATGACAGCGACAGGACGCACCGTTAGTGCAGCTGTGCAAATCGTTCCGTATGGAGCTGTCGTGGCCAAAGCATGCGAGTACCTGAACGACCCACCTTTGATCTACATTGGGAACAAGATGTCTTGTTTGAAGATCCGCAAGCTAGAACGATATGCTGCGCGTGGCTCCAAGAACCTGATCATCAAAGGGTATTTGCTTCTGGCGGAGGCGCTGACATATTCGATTGAGTATGGTGTTCCGCTCTTGCGCCGCGTGACCAGCGTCACGACTTTGGTGTATCTAATGCTGGGGACCTTTACCCTCACAGAGCAGAACTTGGTTGACCAGGGCACCAGGGTCATTCTGGCAGGTTTCACCCTGTCTTTTGTGAAGGCGTCCCTGGAGAAGCTGGTGCCGTCAGCGCTGAGTTATGGCCTAGGCGGTGTCTACTTCGCCCTCAGCCGAGCCGAAGGGATCGTGACCCGTGAACACGAGGTACCACGAACGATCACAGGGCAAATGCTGTCTGGAGCTGCGGCGTCAACACTTATTGCTGGAAGTGTTCTTGCCGCCGGTTGGGGCTCAGCAGCTTACGCAGTGATTTTGGGCTCTTGTGTTGGGTATGTCTTCAGTCTTTTGACACTGTTCGTCAACGTCATACTGGAGCGACCATCTCCAGATATCGATGACCCACCCTCAAGAAGCATGTTTCAGCTACTCATGAAGCTGCTGTACTCCCTGATCTCGGGTGGAGCGCTGGGAGTTTTAGCAATCTACGCTGGCGAGGCTGGCTTAGCGGCCGAAGCCGGGGTGGAGGACGCCTACGAGTTCCAGAACAGCTTGGGAAGCCGCTGGGGTTTTCGCGGAAGCGTGGGGCTTGGTGTCTTTGCCGTTGCGATCCAACTCATCACTTTCCGATTGGTCCTTGTCGAGAACTTGCCTCCCGTTATCAAGCAGAGTGTAGATCCGCCATATAATTGGAGAGACTCTCCCACGTGGATAGTTCTCAGGACGATTCAGTTCTTTCCCGGCCTCACTGCTATCCCCACGTGCACTTTGGTGTCAGTTGTGCTGCGCGACTTTCTTCAGTCTGGCCTCCCTTCGTTGAGTGCCATAGAAACTCAGTTTGTGGTGACTGGATCAGGGATTGTTCTGGCAAATGTGTCTGCATTGACGGTACACAGGTTGCTCGGTAGCCCTCCCCAACTTCTAGGCTTCTTTTCTTGCATCCTGGCTGCTTGCCTTCTGTGTCCTTGGAACATGCTCTTCGGTGCCTTCACTGCAGTATGGATCGGTGTGGCTGTCGGGAGTATTCTGGAAGAAGTGGTGTTACGCCGAGCTTTGCAGAAGGAGATCAGAAGACGAGAGGCGATGGGCGAAGATGACATGGAGTTCTTCGATCAGAAACGTGCAGCCTGTATGGAAGAATGGGCGCAGTTTGAAGAAGAAGAGCCGCCACAAGCGCTTCCTGAGCCCGACCGTCAGGACAAGCTGAACAGGTATCTGCAAATTGCTGCTGCAGGTGGAAGTGCCATTGAATATGCGAAAGAAGTCGCAGCTGCCCAAGAGCAAGAAGCATTGGAGCCCGGCGAATTTGCGTCTGATGCCGATCTAGCAGAGCTCGACCGTCCTGGGAGTCATGACAGCAACCTCCTGCAGATAGAAGAGCGTTCAATCTCAGGTCGGCTTTTTGTGGCATAGGGCGCATGTTCACGCTGGTTGTGATGCAAGGTCCTTATGATTCGTGCTGTATGTTGCTTTGGAAGGTCGAGGAACTACAAAGGGCTCAGAGCCACTCCCGCAATGGGATGCAACCACAACACCGATGTTGGCGGACGACGAGGAATCTGTTCACCAGGCTGTGGACAATTGTCAGCATCTTCGGAAGCATGTTCTGGCATTTACCCGGTAGGCTTTCTCCAAGGGTCAGGAGATTGCTGAGGAGGAGGCAGGGGAACCAAACTTATGGCGGTTGTGGCACTATGCCGATGCGTTGCAGCACGAGTCGCGCAGGCTCATCATGCTGATGTGGATTCGGCCGCCATGCATGCTCTTCGAAACGTGGAAGACGTGACGCCCTCTGTCAGGGTCGGGGTTGCCTCAAGTGAACGTGTTGAGACACCTGGTTTGCAAGGCAGAGCAGCCCGACGTGCCGGACACGAGCATGCCAGAGCCGCTTGAAGAGAGCGGAGGGCTCAAACTGCTGCTCTGACTGAACCTCGTAGTGCGACTTTGTTGCGCGTTAGTGGCAGGTGGCCCAGAGCACGACCGCGTCCAGGAAAGCATCATGGATGCGGCAGGCCTGGCGGTCTCGTCTTGCCATTCCTGGATAGCTTGGCGCATCCTGGGATATGACAGTGCATGCACTGCAGGTTCAAAGGAAGAGATGCAGGAGCCGCCGCGAGGCTGCGTCGGTTTCACAGCCGGAATTCGGAGTGCTACAGCCGGTGGTTGTTCAATGGTAGATGTCCTTGACAACCCTGCCACCTGCGCTTTTGAGGCGGTGAAGTCGGCCCGTTGACGGAAGAGGACCAGGCCTCTGAGCTGCCAATGCAGCTGGCATTGACCAGGCCTTCGATTCAACAAGCCACAATCTGTGCCTCTTGTTGTGGTGGTTGTTGATTTTGGTGTTAGGGATCCGTTCCGGACTTGATGAGCTGAGCACGAGTTCATGAACCCCTGAGTCCTGGATTGCAACGCGCGCATCGTGACTTCTCGACGCCGCAACCGTCCAGCCGAGCCCGCACGGTGATGCTCGAGGAGAGACAAGTTCTGTGAAGCTTTTGTGTGAGCTCGGTGAGAGCAACTTCACATGTCACAGGACGGCTTTGATTTCAGCCGAGAGATGGTCGATACTGATGAGATACTTACAGCAAGTCGCGGCCCTTCAAAGGCAACATCCATGAGTCTCGGCTGTGTCCTGAATTCTGCATCCGCAAAGCCCACACCAGGCTAATGCCGAGTTTCATTGTGGCCTGCTGACAGCTGAGGAGATCAGTAACGACGATAGCCACACAGCCGAGACCACAGCCCAAGAGTGCAGCCCTGCACCAAGGATTAGATGTCGCAGACACATGCCCGGGTTGCAGAGCAACTGATCAATGGCTCACTGAGTGGCGACTTAGAGCGGTGGCAGAAGCTTCAATCTCTAAGGCTCCGACTTCTCCAGTTGGCATGGACATCAACCCAGGCCTCAGAAGCCACAGCCCTGTTGTGTGCCTTTGTGACTTGCTGTAGTTTCAGAGTGCTTCGCATCTTCCAAGAAGTCTGAGGCCTGCGTCCTCAGCAACAAGACCTTTGGACCAGGACCCACGGCCCGCGACCGCCACCGACTTCTCCGTCGTTGCTTCTGGGATGCATTGCTAGTTCTTATCCAAGGCGCAGGTCTTTTTGGGAATGCCTGGGCTTCACGCGCAGTTGGAGCTGTAAGGAGAGACATGGCGCACCAAGCCCAGTCCAGCTACCAGTCAAAGGCAGCCATGGCACGCAGGCTTGCATGGCATGGCTGAGTTGCGTCTCTTGTGTTCGTAGAAGTGAGGCTTTGAGGGAGACAAGCTTTGCTGGGAAGCGAGAGACCCTGTATGACATAGTTTACCAGACTCCGCTCTGATCCGCTCTGCTTTGGCTTTTGTCTTATCTTGCAGGTCACCAAAAAAGTGACGGCCGACGTGAGGGGATGTAGTTTCTTCTACTGGGCAGCTTGCACAGGATTTGGTGAGGGGTCTGTGCGGAGTACTCGTGCTAAGCAAAGTGTGAAGATGGCTCGTGCGATGCCGCAAATGCTGCCCTTGACTAAATTCCAAGCCCGTGTTGAGGCAGTTCTAGCATGTAGTCTTATCTCGCGTGTCTCAAAAGTGATACGAAATTCGATTGTGAAAATCACTGCAACAGAAGATGCTTTTGGCAGCCAGCAGTTGGGCCTAGATGGGCTTAGATGCTACCGGCTGCTTCCGTTTGATAACGTATCCGTCGGCCATCACCGGCATTTTCCATTGCACATGCAATGCAAGTGTGAAACATGTAGCATGCATGTAGCATGAGTAGGCGTCTCACACACAAACCTGTGTCACGTCATGCATGTACCGCAAGAAATGGCCGTTCGATGCCGTCTTGTAGCCTTGGCTGCAATCTGCTCCGTTTGATACTTCGCGCTATGCTTGGGCTAACTTGCCCCTTTTGCAAGGAGAGTGGAGGCTCAAGCTTCAAAAGTTCGTCCAAAGCTGACGCTAGACTTCCTGGTGCCGTTTTTTCGGTGCCATGGGCTGTTGCAATGCCTCATGTTGTCAGTTCTCTTCTATGGCAGACTCCGAAGAGCCAGAATCTCAGTGTCTCGGATACCGTCCACGGCAAGACCACAATCCTTGAACGTGAGCTGTGGCGCAAAACAAAGCAGGTGCCTCTAGGCGGGGTGAGACATGCATGTCGTCAAGGTCTGACTCCTCCTCGAGCACAGCATCGGGCCTCAGCCTCGGCTACCAGCATCCAAACCTCTCTAACTCGGCCCATGCCATGCATCTGTCACCGAGGACTCCTGAACATCAATGAGGCCACCGTTGAAGATCTCATGGCGTTGCCGGGAATCGGAAGGATCCCAGCGAAGCGTGCGATTTGAAGTCTTTTTCTTACGCCATCCTTTTGTTTCAATCTTGCCCGGCAGTAGCAGGAGAAAGGCGGAGAGCATTGCACGGGACCTGAGACAGCTTCTTAAGCAAAGCAGCTTTTGAAGAACAGAACAGCTACTGGGCAGAGCGATCTAAAAGCTCCGGTGCTCAGGTGGCATACCGCGAAGAAAATGGGAGGTTCGAGTCACTCGAAGACTTGCAGGCTGTACCTGGCCTTGGAACTGCTCTCAGCTCGTGGAACCAACAGGCATACCTTGCAAGTTGACCAAGTGGTCCCTCTCACGAGGTCGGCGTGGGCTTGAAAAGCTTGTTGACATGATCACGCTGGACGAGTCAGGCGCGAGACTGCACAACTTCCATCCAGGCTTTGCCTTGTGAGCCTCAAGGTGATCAATCCGGCTGTCTTGCCTCCTGCTGCCACGCAGGCCCATGGGAGCATGGCTTATTGTGCAGGGCACCAGGGCGAGTGACAAAAGAAGTCGACAGAAGGACTTCAAGAATAATAGTATTGCCAACAGCACAACATAAGAATCGTAGAAATGATAGAAATGATAATCGTAGACTTTCAATGCTAAGCTCAGGACGGACTCGTAGGCCGCTGTCCGAACAAATAGGCGGACGAGTGCAAGAACCGTCCATTCTGGCCTGTTGGATTGTTCCGGAAGCGAAATCTCTTTTACATAATCATCAAAAGCTTTTAGCTGGAACTCTAAACCTGAGAGCATTCGTTAGGTTTGTGTGGTTCAGTTTGAGGGAATGTAGTTGAATGCTTCATGTACAGTAGAAAGGACAACGAATTCTTGATTGGCGATTTTGCCCTAAATGGTTAAACAGCATGGCGGCAGTTGGCCTAGTGTTGACGTTGCAGGAAGTCTTGCATGTGGCTGCTGCTGCTCCTGCTTCATGTGCATGCGAGGCACCTGCATCGATCTGTGGTGAAGTCGGCTGTCGAATGATCGAATGAAAGCTGTGTGCGACTGTTTCTTTTGGCTCCGAGCTGAATCTGTGGAGCGATTTCGATTCGATGCCATTCGCGTGACGTGTGCTTCGTGGACAGTGTTTGGCGCACCCTCAGCCAAGGCAGAGTGCTAAATCCGCTAACGTAAGCATCGATGTGACGATTGGCTTACATGTGCAGGTCTCTAGATGGGAGCTGGTTCGAGAATAGTGTTTCGAGTTCTTTTGACAGAGAGTGCATGCGACACTGCCATGGCTACGCCATTGCAGCGTCTGAGCAGCACGTACCTAGTCGAGCAGGCATGGTGTTCGTGTGCGGTGCCGTCAAGTGCAAATGACTCTTTGGGTGGCCTGGCAGACTTCGAGCAAATCTCTTTTTCAGGCCGTGCTTGGTGAGCAGTCCAAAGTTGTTTGCCTGCGATTCGGGCAAGACTTTTCGCCCGAGTGCATGAAGATGGACGAGGTGCCATTTGTTCCGTGCCGGTATCGGACCTAGGACCTGGAATCCCAATAATCTGGCAGGTGTTGTCATCCGCGGCGCAGGCGGTGGAACCCGCGTGCAGCATCTACGAAGCTCGTTCGCATGCGACATGCGATTCCGCATGTCCCAGTCTGGCGACACGGAGCACCACCGAGGCCGTGGACCTTCGCGAGGTGCCAGAGTGCATCTCGGAGTTTCAGTTGACACAGCCTGCCCAGCTGCAGCCTGGCAAAACGAAGATCCATGCCACGATGCCGCGACGCTTTCTTTCTTTTGCAGACTGTCTCGACTTGAGGATCTTCTTCTTCAGAGGGAAGCCTCTGGAGCTGGATCTTGGAGCGGGTCCACAGAAGAAGGTGGAGTTTACGCTAAGTAGCCGGCAGGACTGGAAGTGCAAGAGACCACAGACCCCACCAGAACCACTCGGACACCAGTGCATACTAGTGCAACTTGCAGGAGTTCCTGGACCTTGCTGAGGCAGTATGTCGCGGTGCACAGCAAGGCATGCAGCTCATCATGGCACCTCGGGAGCCTTGACAGGCAAAAGAGAGTCTTGGCTTAGTCATTCCTTGTTGCACGGTTCATGTCCATCTCCAAGGACTATTCCATGCAGTTTCGCTACTGACGCGGTGGAAAGACCACTCCGCGCGCCGGAAAATCATTCGCCGCTGCACAGACTAGCTCTTTTCCTGAACAGGCCGTTGCACAGACCTTGACAGGCTGTTGGCCTTCCATTGACCCTGGCAGCCATGACGAGGTCGGAGGACTTGTCGAAATCCAAACTTGCATCACGCCCTCCTAATCACCTTGTCCTAGCCTTAGAGTCGTAGAGAGGCTCTATTCTTCCCCGACGACAGCGCTGGATCACGCGTCTTACCCGGTCACATGGATCCGGAACGTGCTTTGCGAGCTCGAGCGTAAGAGCAGTGTTCGTGAAAAAGGTTTGGACCGGCTGCTGGATGTTCTTGCGTCGGCTCGTCGCAGCTTGGATGTTGCGGCCAGGGTCTGAACGCTATGAAAATGTTTTGCTGTCGGGGCCCTTCGAGCGTAAGGTCTTCAGCATAAGCCACAAGCGTCTGGCGGCCGCACTCGTGCAAGCACACAGGCAAGACCGGCGAGCACAAGTCATGTCACAGAGCATCTCTTTGCAAACTGACCGAGAGATCCGCGGATTCTATTCGCGCATTCTTTTCGAGAGCCTCTCCGTAATGATTTTTGGCAAGTGAGGCGTGGTGTCCTAGTACGAGTTCTATCAGATGACATGCAGGCGTGCCCGAGCAAGCTGCTAGCGGCCAGCACGTCTTGGGAAGCTTGCCAGGCCAAGCAGCAAAACTCCGCAGTGCCGGAATTGAGAAGAGAGGGCCTCCAGCTACGTGGCGAGCCTGAGATTTTTGAAGCAGTGTGTCTCCGATGGTGATCTTCTCTCTGAGCAAGGCCTGGATGCCAGTGAGAAATTCCACATGCATCACAAGCCGCCGTGCTGAGTTATTGAGAGCTACTGTTTCATTCTTCGGAGGCCAGAGGAGTGGGAGCAGATTGCAAATGTCATGCCGTTGAGGTTCGTGGTTGTTGATGGTGCTGCTCTCATCTCCGGGTCCCTTAACTGGACGCATGCCGCGGTCGAGCGCGGTGCCGGGGTAGCAAAGGGTCATATGATTCATTTGTGACAGCAAGATGCCACGAAGTGTCACGAAACACGGGGCTCCTATTGAGCTAAGGCAATGAGAATGCGACGATATGCAGGTGGAATCGGGCCGGACTGTGGAAGGGACGCAGTTGCTTGGTTCAACACCTACCCGGCCAGGCGCCCTGCATTATGTAACCGCTTCGCGCTGGAGCCGGAGCCTTCTGTTCTCCGAGCTTTCACAGCCTAGTCTTTTTTGGCCGTGTCTTCAGGTTTGAACGAGTGTGGGCTGCGTTCCGAACTGGGACCGTCGCACAAGCTCCGCCGGCTGAATTCGACGGCAATGTTCGGTTCTGAGCCGTTCTGATCCAACTACAGTGCACGGCCCTGTCTACAAAAACACAAGGTTGCGGCCCTCTTCTTTCCCGAGCCTCAGATGAAGAATGTACAACCCTTAGGGGTGCAAATGCAAAGAGCAGACAGCAGGAGATGGTGCAGTTTCGTAGATCGTCGTGCAATTCATAGCACTGGCAAGCCATTTTCATCGGCAGGCGGGGCCTGGCATATTTCCAAAGTCACACTTCGCATGTTTCTGCGGTGTGTTCTTGTTGAATAGCCTGTGCGACAGTCTGCTTTCGTCCAGCCGAGGTGGGTCTGATCTTGACGGAGCTGCAAAGTGCTCGCTCAAGCATTGAACTGGCTGCTTGCGCCTCGGACAACCTCGGCTCTCATTTGTGTGCAGGTTCGGGGCTGACGCCCTGAGAGTTTTGGGCCCGTGCATGTCTGCAGATCTTCACGCTGACGTTGGACATGTTGGTTGACACATTGATTCAGAAGCACAAAGCAGGCCTGGCAACGCAGCTAATGAAATTTATGTATCAAAGCTTTATATGCACACACCCACACACACACACACTCGTTTGTCTGTTGCAGACGCTTGCATCAGAGACCCACGGATAATGCAGGTCTTCGTGTCCGGATCATTACAGACAACCGACAGGCACGATCTCACAGTTCTGGTTGGCAAAGCGTGTCTGACACCTGTGGAGGCAGCAGTCCCTGGTGCCGATGCTCAGAGACTGTGCGATCGAGGATTGGAAGTCCGTACAGACAAGCCATGGCCCCGGGAAGTCGGGGATGGTTTGGCGCAGCCAGACGGCGGGATTTCGGGCTTCGTGGTTTGATACTTCGGCGTTGTGGTTGAGCCGATCAGGGTTCTGGGGTCAATCACTCGTTGCTGCTGTTGGGTTAAGCTATCTTTTGGTTTGAGCCTCTTGCTAATTAGATCTTCTTCAGTTCTTTAGGTTGACATCGCAATGCCCCTTTGCCTGTCGATACGTCCGGATGCGGTCTCCGTGCGTTTGAATCATGAGCCTCCCAAGGAGCCAGAGACACAAAAGCGGCATCTTGCACGATGCCAAAGCTTCTATGCGATACCCATCTCAGACTCGCATGTGCATCGGTCTTGTCATTGCTGACGTGGTGCACTTGTGTCGCATGATGTCGCATGCTCAAGCCTGGCGTTGAATTGAATCCTCATCAGTGTCGCGTCGGCTTTGGCCCGCAGATTCCTCTCTCCCGTAGTAGTGTCGGATGTGAGGAGTTCATTTGGTCCCCTCCTGGTAGCTGTTCCTGGAGGTGTCAGAGTGCCATGCGGATTACTCGGCCAAGCTGTGGCAGCTCTCGATTTGTGTCGTGTTTGGTCTGCTCTTGGTGCACCTCGCCCGAGCTGTGCAGTTACTGTGCACATAGGGAGCCCATCTCCATGCTCTGTTGCATCGCTAGTTTCCGGCCTGTGTGGGAGGTAACCAAAATGGTAAGAATGATGAAGCCAAAGTTGTCATACTGGCTCAGGCCCCAGCTCAAACCTCGCAACACCCTGTTGACTTGGGGTCAGCTCCGAAGCGCCTATCTTCGGAGCACTTCCAGCAGCTTCTGTAGTGCACATGGATACGTCTCTGTAATGCGCCAGGATACCTTCATCATAAGGGAACACTCTGCACAAAGCTTGTGACCCCGAAGCTAGCTGCCACCTGCGCAGTATCAGAACTCAAGAGACAAGTCCGGTCGACGAAACCATCGTCATGATATCTGTAGTAGTAGCAGTAGTAGTAGTTGTTGTTGTAGTGGTAGTGCTATTAACAGTAACTATAATGGTGCTTTAAATGACAGTACTACTGCGAACAATGATCTCGTGGTTCGATATGACGGCTGGAGACGCCCTTGTCCAGGTCATGGTATGCCATGCATCACAAGTTCGACACTTGCCTGCATTGGTTGAGATTATTGTCACCTGGTGGCAAGCGAGTTCATTCGGCGTCTCTTCCAGTTGGTTTTTGGAGGCTGTGATTGACAAGCAGACTGTGATCAATGGCTCCTTCAATTGGACGGCACAGGCCCTGCATCTGCCTGCTGGGAGAGTGTGCTCGAGCGCTCGTGTCTGCCCCTTGCAGGCAACCAAAGGAAACCAAGAGGATGCCATAATCTTCCGTGTCTCGGATTGATTCTTAGGACCTTACTGTTCTGTGCTTGGACGGCCACCCCGACAGGTGGTGAGAAGAGGTTGGTGGCGGCTCCCAGACTTTCTTCTTCCGTGCAATGCTGCGACGGAGAAGTTGGGCCTTTTGCTCAGGCCGCCGCTTTCCTCACTGAGTTTGACAGAATGTGGGAATCTGAATCCTTTAAGCCGCTTGGCGCCTGATGTCTGGCCAAAGAAGCTAGACCATCTGCACACACCTCACAAAGCGGATGTGTGAGGCTGACATCAACCACGAATACCAAAATTGTGATGCTGCATCTTTTGTGGGAAAAACTTTCAACATGAATCGTTTTGACAGCAAGTTCTGAGCATGGCATCTGTCACAGACAGGATGATTCTGAACTGGAGTTTGACAGCATTGACTTCTCCCCCGAACATGGCTTTGGCTCGAGTCATTTTTCCGGACTGCAAGGTGGCCGAACGCATCTCCTGCAAGGCGAGTCCATGCAGAGCCTCACAGTTCTTACGTGCATGAGAGATCCGCGGCACTCGTGAGGCCCGCAGTGCCAGAAAGGTTCCCTGCAGGCGGCGAGAGTCGGCGAGACAGGGACCGAAGAGTTTCGTCAATGATCCCGCAGCACTGATCGAGGCACGGCAGACCGTGTGGCAGCGGAAGACCGGGCAAGACATGCGCCTCAAGGCAGCGACGTCTGTTGTCGTGGTGATCGGTGCGATGCCATGTCGTTGCCATGGCACAGCTTCCAGGCATGGCTGCCTCTACTATTGGCACCTGCGAGAGGCACCGGGCTGAGCCCGCTTTTGCCCATGCCACGGGCCTGCTCAGACTCCTTCCTCAGGACAGTTCCAGTTCGAAATTCCGGCCGAAATGCTCCAAGGAATGATGGGAGGAGGCGTCGTGGACAGTAAGTCATGACCGTAGTAACAAGGGGATTCGGAGTCGTAACGCCAGCAGTTTACTAGTAATAGTAGTAATATTAACAAAAACTTCGCAGAGGCAGCAGATACTGAGCTTCCTTGTCTTGCCTTCTTCCAGCCAGGTGGAATGATGGGAGGTGGAGGTGGTGGCAGAAAAGGCGCTGAGTGGCCAAAGACAGAGAATTCGGAAATTTCAGTTCCAAGCCAAGCTGCTGTTCATGCGAGTTCCACTGTACTCCCTGTATGCCTAAACGAAGATCTGTGCTCAGGCTGAGTTTGAGTTCCCGGCTCAGTCTGAACATCAGCGTAATGCAGCGACTCCACCTGTCTGGTCTCGTTTGGCTCGTATGATGAGGTGGCTGGTAAACACTGAATGGGAGTCTTGGCCGGGAATCGGTAGACCTTGCTTTCTGACATCAGTGGGCACGGGGTGCCGTAGTAGCGTGCAAGGAGGGCAAGACGTCCAAGTACCTTCTCCTGAGAGACGGCTTCGTCGAGTCACCCTTGAAGGAGGGATCTCGTCTCTTCCAGAGTGGTTTTGGGATCTGTGTCATCGATGCTCTTTGGAAGGAGTGTGAGCCAGAGGGCCATTGTTTGTGGGCCGCCAACAATGGCAAAGTTCTTATCAACACGCCCAAACTCAAGGTGCCGTGCTAAGGCCGCAATGCGTGCTGCAGGAGGTTGTGTGTGTCTCTTCGTATGCCGAGGTTGTGAAATTCTCCGTGGAGGGTCTCGAGGGCATAGACAGGAAGAAGCTCGAGAACAAGGACTTGCACGGATTTGCCGCATGAGGCGAGCAGAATTCGTATGTCACGAGTCTCCGGAAGGACGAAGCTGAATTGAAGAAGATTTCTTTGGTCATGGAGAAGCCTAGTGGTGTGGCTGCACTAGCTTTGGTAGGTCATTCGACGGCTGCCTTGTCGGAATTGGAACGTTTCTCGCAGCTGACATGTGCAAGGCAAGAGCACCGGCAAGAAAGGCGCATCGTGATTCGAATCCTACATTGATCGTGCCCGTTCTGATGGTGGTGGCCTCTCCTTGCAGGTAAGCTCGATTTCAAGCGGGTAGCCATGGCGGACGAACAAGACAGCATGGGAGACCCGGCCTGAAAGATCAAGACTTCTGAAGCGGATCTCTTCGTTTGCGTGGGAAGACGATGCTTGGCCTTTGCGGGCAGTGGGCAGTTTCCAGGAGCAGACCTGTACAAGCTCTTAGACCTTACGGAGGATGCAGACCAAGCCGCGGTCAAGAGCAGCTGTACTGCAGCCTGGTACCGCCTATAGGTCCATTTGCTGTGACTCTTGGCGCTGGCAAGGCAAGTTCCGGAGACTGTCGGTGTCAATGCATCCTGACAAAGGCTGACCGCTGGTTTCTGGCAGCCGTGCGTATAAGACGAGCCGGTGCAAGCACAGGCGGTGATCCAAAAGCTTTCAACGACATGAGAGAGGCCTATGAGGCCTTCGGGCACGAGGGTAGCCGGGTAACCCACAGCTGAATGCGATTCATGGAGTCCCAGTCACTGCTGTGCAGGTTCTTGGAGATCCAGAGAAGCGAAGGCCGCTTAGCTCGAACTCTTGTTATCTGCCTTCCTCTGATGATGCCTTGAGCAGCTCACATTGCTGGGAGTCCTTGGGACGTGAGGCAATACAACCTCGGTGGCTCGGCTGCAGCGTGGTTTATCCTCCCGGCCCCGTCTGCTTTCAGACAAGAAGCTTCACTGAGTGGGTAATGTTGGTATATCACGGAGTTGTTCAAGGGGTTTCGTAGTATCATTGTGGATCTTCCGACCAGGTGGTATGCAGCTCGTCAAGAATGTTGAGATAGCGTGGAAGGAAGTGGAGGGGCAGAAAGCACAAATGGCGACGCAGCTGCATCTGATACATATGCTTGCGTTCACTTGGCAGCACTTTCACATGGCACATGTGCGATGGCAAGGATGCGCAGCTCAATCAGGCACGTCTTCGGGCTGGCAGTGCAGACTTCCTGACAACAGTGTCCTCCAGTCAAGCGTTCGCCATTCTGATGCTGCGACAAGTAACGGTTCTGCTTCTTTCATTATGGACAGAGCCTGTGTCGAGTTGAGGAGAAGCTAGTAATACCTGTATGAGTTCCGCAGTCGCAGCAAACCGGCGTGATCACAACACTGAATCGTCACAGGTTCCAAAGAACCACCCGCAGTATGCCATGCTGTCGCCCCAGCTTCCTGAGCAATCCAAGCATGCCGATGTAAAGCTGGATGGTGTCCGCCCAAGGTTCAAGCAGCAGATCGAGCAGCAGAAGCGACAGTTTGACAAGGCATCCTTCTCGGCTTCTGCGGATGCCTCCGGTTCATGTACGAGCCAACACTCAGGCGAAGGTGGAATCTCAGATCCAGCAGAAGCTGCAAAGCGAGGAGCTCGAGGCGGCCTGGAGCGGAGAGCCTCCTCGTGACGAAAATCGGGAATTGCCAGGTCATGGTGCCCATTTCAGCTTCCGAGCTTTACAATGGCGTGGAGAAAAAGGTCTTCGTCTTCCCTAGGCCTGGAGAGAAGATCAAAGCAGCGGCAGCTGACGCGTTTCCGGGTGGCCAGGCTTATGATATGTCGCGGTTGCAAAGAAGACCCCGGCAGGCCACAGGGTGCAGAGAAAACTGAGAGCGCTTGAAGGATTCGGCAGAGATGCCGCGTCGGTTGTGCGGGCTTTGCAAGGCCTGAGTGCCAGGATTGCGGTCGGTGTCAGCCAGAGAAGGTGCAGCTCACTGCTCTTGGCCATCTTGGCCCTTGGCTTTCCCTCCGCGCTCTCTTGGTAGGTCCAGGTGCCGAAATATGGCATGACGCCCTTCGGGCGTCAGGCAGGCGCAGAGCGGTGTGTCTTGTGCGCGTGATGAGCCCGCTCTTGATGTTCTTTGTCAGGTGGTTGGCATGAGAGAGAAGGAGCAGGAAAGTCGAGAGAGGTGTCGAGAAGTTGGGGTCGAGGCAAAGAAGCCCTAAACCCCAAAAGCCCCCCAAAGTCTCCTAAACTCCTAAACCCATGTCGCTGTCTCTGCCAGAGCCGAGGTGCCGCTGAGAGTGAGCAAGGGGGCCAAGCAGGGAGCTTCTTTGAAGGCTCCCGGAGAAGTTGCTTTCTGCGTGGTAGAGTTTTGGAGGTTTGAGGTTTTGGGTTCAAGTGCCTTTTTTGCTCATCTTTTCTTCTTGTCAGGTCCTGTCGAATGTTGGCCACCAAACGCCAGGAAAGTTCCCCGGCAAGGCGAGCTGGGGAGGTTTCGGCAGTTCTGCAGAATCACACATGGAAGTCGATTCATGAACAGGTAGGCTTTTGTTTAGCAAAGGCATGCTGTGGGTAGGTCGGTCTCTCTGCCTCCCTTCTCTTTAGGTGTGTGTGTGTGTGTGTGCACGCGTATGTGTCCATCGCTGATTCGCTGCCTGCACAGGTGAACTTCAAAGTGCAGCGAGGTAAGCTGTTGCCATACTGTCTCTAGCGCATCCCAGCAGTTACAGTCACATGACCTAACCTGTTGCCAGGCAGCAAGGAGGACAGCTTCAGAATTGCAGAGTCAGACCTGCACACGGTCGCTACCTCAGTTGCTCCTTCGGTGACGGAACGTGCTCAAGTGTTTCCGGTAAGGTGCTCCACGTCTCATTGGAGCAAGCCCTGTTCGGCTTCACGTTGCTTGGATGTAATGCTGTCTTCAGCGGAGCCTTGCCGACTGCCGGATTAGCAATCCCAAGGATTTCTTGGCAGCATCTCGGAGAAGAGACGGTCCACTGGCCTATACTTCGTCAGACGGCATTACCGATTGAAACAGCTTCTGCTGTCTGCTGCAGCTCAACACCTGTTTGGCTAAGGTAACTATCACCAAGGAGCGTCTGCAGCAGCCAGATGAGGCCAAGCGCAGAACGTAGGCTTCCCACGTGGCATTGCGGAATCCATGCAATGGCTTTGTCAGGTGCTCCGACTCAAGGGCAAGGGCCTTGTCGAGTCGGGAAGCAAGCGAGGTGACCTGTATGTGCGGAGCACAGGGCACGTCTTGTGCCTGTGCCGGCTCGCTTGATGTCCCAGCCCAGGTGCGACTCGCAGTCGATCTCCCGCAAGCGCCACAGGGGGAGAAGGCGGTCATCGAACAATCGGCTCTTCGCCTTGGCACTCGGCTGCCAGCAGGCCCTCACACTTCGAGCTCCAGGTTCAGGAGTGCAGGCGCACGCTGCAGCAAGAGGAGATTGCTGCAAGAGTCATGGCCGTTTATTTGCTGCCAGGCAGCAAAGCTGGAAATGGAAGATGAAGTTAGGATAGAAGAAGGCCGCAACTGCCTCGAGCAAGTGAGAAGTTTCCCCACGGAAAACTATGCCCCTGTTCATGCAGCCGCAAGACGGCCCTGTCCACCACGCGGTATTCTTGTTGTCATCCGACTTGTGTGCTTGATCGTTTAGCTGTCGATGGTCCTGTCTATCCGTTATTGCAGGAAGTGCTTGGCGAGAGTGGATCGGCAGAGAAAAGGCGAGCACCTACAAGGCCTCATGCCCGTTTCGGCTTCGTCGAAGTCTGCAAACGGAAGCTTCGAGGTGGGGAAAGCCAAAACAGAACTGTAAGGAAGCGGAAGCGGTTTCTTGGAAGCAGACATGGTCCACGCCAGCAGTTGTGTGACGAAAGACTCGTATTGTCCTTTCAGGTCCGCAACGAAAGTAGAAGTAGGCAATAACGAGTGTCCAAAAGCGGCAGAGATGAAGTGAGCCTCTGGGATCTTGGCTGACAAGGCCAGCCCAGAACGCTTATTGTATATAGGCTAGGAGCCATGGGCTGGTGAGCATGTTTCACCGAGGTTTTTGTTGCATTCTACTAGTTACTAGTGACTCAGCAGTAGCTTCATGACAAAGATTGCTATTCAGAGCTCAAGCGGAAGTAGGTCGACCGAGATGCATGATTCTGCTCTACTGTACCCTGTAACTTCGTATGCATGTTTCACCCCGCTCCACCAGCCGTCATGAGCTGCAACCCAAAGACCACCATCGGCCTGTGCACGTGATTGTTCTCGCGCGTGCGGCCGTCTCATGGTTCTCGACTTGTGCAGTCAAAATCGATGCGAAGTGGGGCATAATGCTGTGGGGATTTTCATAGGGCCGAATGTGCACGCCGGTTTCTGAGCACGGAGACATCAACGCTTTGGGCTGGGATGATGCTCACGACATCCGGTGTCAGATGTGAGGCCCTTGTGGTACCTCATCGAGGCCTTCTTTTTGTCCCGTTCCTGGAAGTGGCTAATATGTTCCTCAGCTTGCATCTCTGTGCCGGATCACCCTTAGGTCAAACAGAAATGTTCGGTTCAGAAGATTGAAGCACCAGCTAGATGCACCACAGCTTTTCAAGGCAGGAGATGACGAAGAGCTTGGGATTTGGCTGTGCTTGGGGTGCCTACCCCTGGTGTGGGGTTTGGGGTTTCTGTCTGCTTAGGTTTCCTCCGTGCGAGTCCCGGGTGGGGTCTGGGTTTGCGTCGTCAGCGTGATCATCATCATCAGCGGGAGAACTGGCGCAGTCGCAGGGATTCGGCATGTTTGGATCCGGGCATGCCGGGGGCCGATATTATGGTGCGGGTCTGCAAACCAAGAACCGGGATCACAGTAGATATTGGGGCACAAAGTGATCGCTTTTTGTGGTCGCCCTACAGTGTTAGTCATGGAACAGGCAGTTCAAGACCAGAAAAGCTGAGAAGGCAGGAGTACTCAAAGCTTTGATGGATTTTGATGGCAGGAGTCAATAAGGTATGAAACTTACTTAAACTGCGGCGATCTGCAGTAGACTGACTAGAATTACAGAGGGTACAGGAGTTTAGTGGGGACACATGTGGAGACTGAAGGTTGTAGGGGCAGGGGCTAGACAAAATCATGCAGGGAATGGTGCCATGATGCTAGGATTGAAGCAGAGGTCTTTCCGAGGTCCGGGTGTGTGGTTTACCTGGTGGTTGCTGTCGTTTCACTTCTTATGCTTGGATCCCAGCTCATGCGCAACACACCACTGCAGGCTCCACAGACATAGCCAATTCCACTACTTTGAGTAATCTAGGCTGTTCACTTCCTATTAGCCCGTGTTAATCAGGGGAAGGTCGATTCTTGCAATGGGCTGATGCCTCATCCGCTGGACCTTGGCCTGAACCTGGCCGTGAGCAAGACGAAGAAGAGCAAAGGGAAGAGCGATGTAGTAGTGGCCACTCCGTGGCATGTATCTGCTGGTGACCAGGACACCAGGACCTTTCTTGCCGCGACTGGCAGCGACTCGGTCGACGATGCTTCAGGCCCTTCGGTTTGGCTGGAGTCGCGGAGGACCAATCTCTTTGAAGAATTGAAGGTGCAGCTCCGACGCGAGTGCACTTCAGAAGGACAGAGTCGATACCCCAGCATGGCCTTTGAGCGTTGGTGGCTCTCCGCCAAAGATTTCGCTGGCGGCTTGGATCCGCTGCTTCCGACTCCGAAGCTGGCAGAGGACCCGGCCCTCGTTTCGGACTTGGAGCGAGCTGGATTCTCCAGAAAGGCCGCTTGTGAAATCGCAAGGCGGCTGGCTTCCTCGTCGGAAGCAGCGGCCGCTGCCATCCGAGAGCTGGCAGCTGCAAAGAAGTCCAAGAGGGAGGTGGTCGAGATGCAGCGGTCCGAAGAAGGCGATGAGGTGTTGTTGGTCTGCAAATCTGCAGGAGCCAGGGTGCGTTTTTCCGGGTTCGCTTACAAGAAGCTGAAGAAGCTGTACGAGTTCCATGGAGTGCAGAGTTGCCCTTTCGAGAAGGCGGTCATGGTCCTCGGAATGCGATATCTGGCTTTAGGTGGGACTGGATAATAATTATGGTTCCTTTTTATGATTATAGTAGAAAATAATACCCTCCCAATGATTATGGTTCCTTCTTATGATTATAGTACAGTAGAACATACCCCCCCAAATAAGGAACCCCGACAGTAGTATAGGTGGGACTGGCTTCCAACTGGCCTTGCCTTCAGCGGCCTGGAAAGTTCTGCAGGAAGACTTCGCTGTGCAGGTCGGGCGACCCGGAGCGGTTTTTTTTCTATATTCTACGATTCTAGTGTATTTTATGATGGTATGCTGTAGTCTACTGTAGTATACTGTAGTATATTACCCTATATCATTTGCAAACGAGAACCAGGCCGAATGCTTTGCATCGCCACTGAACTGCTGGTGCGAACCTGACTTGGCATCTGATGTCACATTGAACACCTTTGGGCATGTTGTGCACTTTCCAGAGTGTTCAGCTTTGGAACCAGGTTCCCAAACTACTGCAGTGCATTTCCCGACTGCCTGGGACTAAGGGTTTCACACGTAGAGCTGTGAGGTGTGGAGCATGCCGTGGCTGTCATGTCAACCTGAAACTAGCTTTGCTGCTCAAACAGTGCGGGTTGGAATCCTTTCCCAGCGCTTCGATGGTGCCGCCCTGAGGAGCAAGTACACAGCTTTCGCTCGCGCCCATCGTATGTTTGCGCTCTGATAAGGACTTGCCCAGACAGTGGAGGCGCGTGCTGCGCCGCGCGCACCCCAAGCTCGGGGTGCTCACGCTGTCTCGAGCTCAGGATCCCAGGGAAGCTCGCAGAAGGAAGTCTTGTGTGGGCGATTTCAAAATCCTGCTATAGGCTTGCTTGCGCCCTGGTGGTGGCTGGCAGTGCCTTCTCTTCAGGTCCTGACTCAAGACCTTGGTGGGAGGAAATGCTTGGTATCCCATGCTGTACAGAGCTTTGACTCTCCACCCTGGAGCGAAGACGTGGGGCCGCTTTTGCAGGTTTCCGCAGCTCTTCCCGGGGCCGAGCAGCTTTGCGGGCCTTCCCTTGGGACCAGGAGGGCAATGCCAAGGCCGGAGAAGAGCCCCCGAGCCCGGCCAGCTGAAAAAATTCCAGCTCATGCAATTTATGGAACCGAAGCTCTTCGCAGATGTTGCTAGGCAGACAGAGCTTATGCCTCCTTGGCAGAGAAGTATCCGGAAGTTGCCGAGTCCGGTACGTTCATGGATGAAGCGGCCGGCACCTTGCGGCAAGAAGGTCAACCTCTAAAACTACAGTGTCTTGTGCTTTAGCTGCAAGCTTGTGTGGCAAAGCAGGCAGAGATGTCATCGTCGGTCGCTATGAACCTTGGCGGGATCAAGCTGGGGTCGTGCATGGTCAGGCCAGATGCCAGCAGCCATAGCATACGCTCTCAGCTACCGTGAGATCTTGCAAACTCTGCTTGCTGCAGTAGCAGTACGGCCGAAGCAAACTTGGACACGATGGAGAAAATCAGCAGGTCTTGCATTGCCACCCACGCAGCAGTCATGAGTCTCGCCCAGGAGAAGCTGGGTGGGTTCCTAGGCTCGGACGTAGCCCTGACAATGGTCGAGAAAGACCCCATCTTGCTGCTGGGCGTCGCGAGCTCAGAGCGGAGGCATCGTGGCATTATTCAGCTGACATGTAGCACTTAGAGTCGAAAGCTCCATGAGGACACCGACATGCAGCAGCGCTCCTTCCAGTACTTGACCAGCTTGGAGGACGACTCCAAGAAAGGCTTGGCCTTGGAGGCGGTTCAGAAAAACCCTCGCTTGCTCACTGTGCCGATCTACGAGTACGAGCGGACCAAGCCTTCCTTGGCGCCCCGGCAGCGGAAATGCAGCGCCAGTGAACACTCACGGTGAAGAGCGCTCCGAGAGAAGGGTAGAGTGAGCTTAGGAGGGGCTGAATACCGCCGCTTCCGCCATTGATTTCCTGCGGCCACTGGGCGAAGTGGGGCTGGCCGTGGCAATTTTTTCCTCCTTCGTGGTGCTGATCCTGGTTCTGAGGCCGAAATTGTACAACCTGTCACGGCGAGTGATTGTAATTCACTTCTCTGTGAGACGGCATGGCATCTTTGCACAATGCCATGTGCGGTCAAGTATACGAGCCAGGCCTGTGTTCTATGGGGTGGGCGGTGGGCCGTGCCGCCCCAAGCTTTCGATCCGTCGGTTCTGGTTGCTGGCCAACACACATGTGAGATAACAGGTCTCTCATCGGCATGCTCACAAGCGGACTGCCTCAGATCCCTCGCCCCTGGGAAATCGCACAGAGCTATGGCATTAATCTGGCGAGCACCTGGCTTTGAATCACATGCAAATCCATGGTCATGCCATCAAGCCTTTGATGCAGTCCGTGGACTACAGCCACCTCTTGTAGTTTCAGGTATCGTGGCCTTGATTCCCATCTACCAGGTCATCAGTGCTATTCGAAAACAGATTCAGTGAGAGGCTTTGCACCAGCCTGCATCCCACGTCGGACGTTTTAAGCTACTGCCCTGTGCCATGCGCCACTGTGGCCGAGCTCAACAAAATGTTTAATTCCAGTTGGGTCTGCGGATCCCGGCGAACGCCATCCTTCCATTTCGACCCTGTGGTCGTGCTAGCGAGCACACAACAAAACATGCTTTGCAGTTTGATCGCAGGTTGGAGTAGCTGTACGTGCAGAATGCTCCTTGAGCCTGAGCCGAATTTGAGGCGATAGATGCTTCGGTTCGATGGGGAGCTTCTCCTCGTTCAAACCACGCCGGCTCGGCAGTGTTGGTTGCTCTCCCTCTGGGCACTCATTCTTGCACCACGCATGTGACGTTCCCTGCCGTGCCCGAGGCCGGGGATGCTTTGAAGCAAACCCGCCCTTCGCACCAGCTGTGATCGCGGGAATGCAGAAGCATATGCCCAGTGCTGAGTGGGAATAGGTCGGGCGACGTGAGACCTTGCCGGAAGTGACATGAGGCACAGCCTCCTAGCGTCGACAGACGAGCCTCTGAGCTTCGTCATTGCCCTTGGCCCCGGTTCCTTCCGAGCTCCGGAGACACCTTCGTGTGTGACCCTACCTAAACCCTCATCCGCCCTAAACCCTAAACCCCGAGACCCTAAACCCTACATCCGAAACCTTGAACCCCGAACCCTGAGGCCATCGCAAGTTGGGAGAATCCCGAGGCCCGCGGGGAGAAGCGGAGCTTGCTACAATACCATAAGACTTGGCATCAGGGTCACTATTCGGGCTTCTGGAACACTATCATGCCATCATCCTATTGATACTATGAGACTTGCAATATGCCTCACTATTATATCTCAAATCCTCGGCCGTTCACTGTGCGCTACCAGGTCGCCACCTTGAGAAAGTCTCCCTTTGCGCGTGGCCACGTCGTGGTGCCCAGGGAGGAACAGGCTTATGCCTTGGGTTCATGGGTTTAGGGGAAAACCTTTCGCAAGCCACTCTGGATTAAGACTTCCGCTCAAGGCTGGGTTCTTGTTAAGGAGTCTTTAAAGTTATATAGTCCATAATATGGTTTCCTCATTATGGTAGCTTAAATTAAATCCCTGTTAACAAGATCCCAGAAGGTGTGGCTCGATGGCCAGCAGAGCCGCCGGGTGCCTCTGCTCAGAGTCCTGGGGTTGTTGTGGCGTTTCTGCGGCACTTTCGGTTCCCGAGGCTCCTGTTGAGCTTCTGATTGTGGTCTTGCAGAACGATGCGGCTGCCTCTGATTCAAAGATGATGATCTCGCCGGGGTCTTGGCTGGTGCAATGAAGCTGAAGCACAGAATGCAAATGCAGGGACTGCGCAGCAGTGCATGGGTCTCTCGTTCCACGCCTTCCATGCCATTGTTGCCCATGCCGTTGTTGTAATTTTCGGTTGAGGCGAGAGAAGCTGGAACGGTATTTGCCTCGGTGTCAAGCACGCTGTAAATGGAGCCTTGAGTCGTAGAAGCAGTGCGAGAGGCTGCGGCAAAGCTGCACAGGAGAGGCCTGCGCCGACTCTCTTTGAATCTGGCTCCCTGTGAGATCTACCCAGGCCAAGCCTTTGGGGCCCAGGAAAAGGCTGCGACTGTGCCGCCAAAGTGCAATGACAGCAACAAATCGCGAAGTGACGCAGGCCTCGCCCGGACACTGCGGTTGAGACTGCCCAGGAAACCTCAGAATTCAGGGTGACAGCGCTGCTTACTTCATCGCCAGCTTGTTGCAAGGCAGCAGCTGATGGACCGGGCGAAACGCCTGACGCAGGCTCCGGTGCATTCGTGTCGGTGTCGGTGTCAGTGTCACATGGAGGCGTGCGACTAAGGCAAAAACTCTTTCCGAAGACAGTACCGGTTCATCGAGACACTAAGCACAAATCATCCATGCGGGCTATCTGCACTGTGCCATCAAGTTGTATTGGTTCAATACTCGTGCCGGTGCTCGTAGTCTGCATGACTGTTGACCGTTGCTTCGTCACTTGTTGTACGCTTCATGTGGTAGCTATTTTCATGATCGTGTGGCCGTTCTCGTCTGACAAAAGTGGATGAAACATGGTCCAGTAGTGTCTCATGGACTTAACCTGCGGCCCAGACGTGGGGAAGTCCATGCTGAAATGGAACTAATGATAGCTTCTGCTTGTTCCTCATCTTGCAGACCCATCAGCAGACCGAGCTCGAGCGATCTCAATTCGGCCAGGCGGGCTTCGATGATGTCTTCACTGCAGCCTCGAGATCAAACAGAGAGTGTGGCCAATTTGGGTCAGACTTAAATTGTATCTGGTCCCTGCTTCAGTCCCGGGAAGGCTACCATGCTCCTGCACCATCAACCTGGTTTCAAACCAAGTCGCTACCTTGAGAAAAGCCCCGACTCGAGCACGGCTGCCATACCCCGGACGAGTCCGGCTTCGTAAGGAAGGAACCACCCTGACAGCTGGCAAGGTTATGTCAATGGTCTAATGGGCACTTGGATTGCACATGCTTTGGGTTGATTTGGGTGATTCAGGCGGAGTGCTGTGGCGAGTGCCTCATTGGCAGCTTGTCAAGCTGAAGCGTCGCACCCTCTGCTCTGGAGACTTTGTGCTGTTGTGTTGCAAAAAACTCTGAACCCAAAGCCCTAGACGCAATACTTACCCGAGGCTTTTGCGCGTGGTTTCGCTTGAAATCAGCGGCAAAGTCGTTCGGCTGGACCTCAAGCGTGACAGTTGGGCCCTGACGATCGATGTCTGCAGTTCTCCAGAGAGCCCTAGACTCAGCAACTAAGGAATATGACAGAACAGAGCTCAAATCCTAAAGTGAAGCCTCCCGTAATTTCAGAGATACTCCTTGTCAGTCCTATAGAAACCTTAGAAAATCAGTGTTTTTCCTCAAACTAAGATGTGTCGAGGGGCTCTCTGGGTACCGTTGAGCGTTTAGACCTCCCATGGGTTCACCCCAAACCTTACTGAGGATGGCTGGCACGCCCGCAACATGCACTTCTGGCTGAAGGCCCGCATCCTATAACGAAGCAGTGCTGTATTGACTGCAGTAGTGCTGTACTGCTATGATACTGTAGCAACATCCCCCAACTGAAAATACCAGACTTGCGAGGAAGCTGCGACGGTGGACGGCATGACGGGAGGCCGTGTCCCAGAGCACGTGTGTTTTTCTTAGTTTTGCCTGCCATTTTTCTGCAGGTGGCGTTTCCGACAAGGATCTGGTCTTCAACCAGCAGTTCATGAAGACACTCTGGCGGCAATGGCTGTCCAGGTGTGCAGTGTGCAGCGGTGTCCTGTCCCTTTGCCAGGAAGCTGGCACGCCTTCGTGGAAACTCCAAGGGTCGGGGACTCTGTGGGTGTGCCGGGAAAGCTCTAGGATTCCAAAGTGCAGCCAGGCCGCTTTCAGCGCGCTTTGGATGTGGGAGCTGGCATCGGTGCCCTGCCATATGGACCGATGGACCGAGCATCTTCGAGCGGATAAGACGGGTACCCAGGTAGACTCGCGAAAGGCGTCTTCCGCACGCACTGCGACCACGTCGACCTGCCCTGCGCCGCAGAGTTTCTGTACTTTCCGCAGAGAACGCTGGTCCGGTCTCATCCTTTCGTCGAGGCTGGAGCCCATCGAGAAACATCTGCAAGTTGCCAGAAAGGAGCTGGACGACACTACTTGGAGCCGAACACAGAAGCGTGCTTGTGTGTTGTTTGAGCGGAGCCACTCCAAGTGCTGTTGTGCAGTTTGCACTCCTCTTAGGCCGGGACACTTCATCTGCGGCACACTTCAAGATTTTAAGCAGCCCACACAGTCGCAGGAACCTCAGTCATTTGAGGAATGCAGGCTGGCTTTGCAGTCGCTGCAGTCAGTGTCCAGAAACCCTGCCGAGGCTGTACGATCTGGTGTGGTGCCAGTTGGGCTCCCAATCTTCCGTGTGCAGCTGGTTCCAAGCTTTCACCCGCGTAGAAAGCGTGTGAGGGCCACTCGTTGTTCCGGGACGCATCCTCGCACGAGGTGGATCTTCATGTACATCACAGATGCGGATGCCTGCGACCCAGTGTGAGTTTGTCTGAAGACTGCAGACATGTCATATTGTCGATCTGTCGCTACCGTGCGGCTGTCCAGGTGGTGAAGTTCCTCCGACGTGTCTCTGTCGAGCTCCTTGCGTGGCTCGGATGCAGCCACCGCTTTTATGCTTCGATCCAAAATCATGCTTCTTTTGCAGGCCAGCTGGGACCGTGGTAGTGAAGGCGCGGCTCTGTGCGATCCGTGTGAACGGCATGCTGATGTTGGCCTTTTTCAAGCTTTATTTTGTAAGCGAGCCGTGCCCTTCAGGAGAATGTCGCCCAAACCCGCTGGTCTCCCGGACTTTGCAGACTTTTGAGCAGATATGCTTCGTTATTTGCTTCATCCCGCCTGGTTTTTCGTGTCTGATGCCATGATCTTTTCTTCAAGACTGGACATGTTGTCCAATAGCCCTTCTTGGCGAAGGATATGGTCCGTGTTCCATTGCGGAAAAAGCGTATACCGTTCTTTCCCTTGCAGTGCCAGTCTCTGGTCGGAGCGGTGTTCGCCCATTTTGGTCCAAGCGTATTCGGGCCTCGGGCCAGATCAAGGCGTTGGATCTTATTTCGACGATGAGACGGGTGAGCTTTGGCGCGGAGGACTCAGATATACTCAGATACCCGGAGACCAATACCTCGAAATTCAGGAATATGCCTCAAGTCATATCAGGGATCTTATAGTAATTTAGGGCCTTTTTTTCTGAATTATTATTATAAAAATGCAAATAAGAGTCTCTGGGTAGCCCTTTGCAGCTTCTCGCCCGAAGCTTGTCGTGTTAGTCTGAGGCGGCGCAAACGGTGGCTCCCAACGCAGTGGACCCATGTCCGTCTTGTCCACTCCTGAGACTGGGTCCCCTAGGCCCGCTACCTTAAACGTTCAACCATAATGGTTGTAATCATAATAATCATCATAATAATATTCATCATACTCATAATAATAATCATAATAGCAATAAACCTTCAACCCCAAGCCAAGACCTCAAAAGAAGCCTCCCATTGCGGTTGCGCTTTTACAGGCGAACCCCGCAGCATTACCTCAAGCTCTTCAGGGAAAGCGGGTGTGGGCCTGAGCTTGCAGTAAAGCTTTAACATCGTTCCTCGTTCAATGATAGCATGAAGTACGTCCAGAAACCAAATATCTTGTTATTTACTTTCATTCTTTCTTCCGTCTGCTGCTACTCTTGATTTTGATTTTCGCGCTGCGATTACCTTTATGTTTTTGCTAGTACTAGTCGCTGTGATCTGTGCTGGGTTTTGGTGGTGTCTTCTTGGAGTTCTCTCGCAGGCTGGAGGTACTCCTCCGTCGCCGACAGCTCTTCTCGCAAGATGAGATGCGGGCTCCTCAGCAAAGTCTTCGAAGCAGAGCTGCTCGATGCTGTGATGGGACCCTGAGCCCTGGCTGAGAAGATCTGCTGCGGGAGAGCACATTGAGAGTCTGTCGATGCCCTACCAATCTGAACCCAGGCCCATGGCGCTGTTTGTACTGGCTGCGCCCTCGCGATCTGAGACGGCCTGGCACCTGGCAGCCAGGAAGTTAACTTCGCAACTTTGCGCTTTGGACCGCCCTGCTGTCAGCCGAGAGTCCGAGGTGCGCAGGGCTGCGGCAGCTGCCAGGGCAATGCGCGAAGCCAGACATGGAACAAGCGACCGCGCATTGCACGGAAAGAAAACAAGCGACTTCGAGACACGGGGCAGACGTCAGAATGAATGAGTTTATTGTGCAACGGCAGACCCTGACCGTGCATGACGTATGGTTTAAGGAGTCAAAGGCAGTTGTGACAACGAGTGACACCCCGTCCGTGTCACTCCTCTAGAGTATGTAAGCTTGGCCATGACAGGCAGCTGCTTGCCAAGCAGTTTGCCCGGTGTACCTGCCGGCCAAACGAAGGACACGACGCAGTGGAGAGGCTGCCGTGGAACTCGTTGGTTGCACGGCCCTGCTGTACGTGAGTCCACTACCCGGTGTGCAGCAGCGTGTCCATTCTCCGGCATGCACTGCCCTGCGCCATGGAATGTCATAAGCGGAGAATGTTGTATGCAAGGACAGGCCTTCGCCAGGCCTGACCTCTGAGCTTCTGATGTTGTCGATGCTTTATTGTTGGCTGCTCATTCGGGCACTCTGCATTCCTCTTGTCGTGGAGCCTCAAGATGTTGTACTCCAGCGCCTGCGGCGCGGACAGTCAAGGGCAGCAAATGCCACGCTTCTGGTAGGGGGCCTCGTGCGCAACGCAGCTTTGCATCTGCCTCAGCTCCGCCAGAGGATCGAAACCCTGGCCGATCATTTCCGACAGGTACGAATCATTTTTGTTGAAAACGATTCTACAGATGGTACTGGGAAGTATCTGGATCACTGGTCCAAAACTGCGGCAGGAAAGACAACCATGAGAACAATCCGCCTGTCGCTCTCGCAGGATCAGCACATAGGGCCGTACAACAACCGAGGTGAGCTCAAAGCCAAAGGATGGGGTCACGATGGAGTGCGCCTCCTAGCCAGGCTTAGGAACATGTATCTCGCTGAGTTGCGGAGAGAGGCCCAGGGCCCGGCCAAGGAGCATTGGGTTTTAATGGTCGATGCTGATGTTGGAATGGAGTGGTCTGCCTCAGTTCTGCTGGAAGCTCTTGGCCACGAGGCCCGGTGGCATGCCCTCTGTGCTCATACGTGGTATCGCTCCAACAGCCTCTATGACGCATTCGCCTTGCGGGGTGAGGGTTTGCAAGGCTTGTCTCCCATAGATTTTGAAGAGCAAACTGGAAAGAGCTTCTTTCCGCATGCGCTTTGCGGTCTGCAGAGACAGTGGGGAGAACATTGTGACTGCGGAATGGAGTGGCAAGATGAGGAAACAGAATGCAAGTCTTGTGCTGCATCTTCCACAGCACGCTCACTCATTCCAGTGGACAGCTGCTTTGGTGGTTTGGCACTTTACCACGAGGACCTGTTACACAAGTTCAGCAGCTGCCGATATGATGAGGGCCGTGACGACTGTGAACACGTGTCCCTGCACCGCTGCATGCGATCCAAGGGGGCGATCATCGTCTTGTACCCCCGGCTTGCTGCTCGAGCCAGCGCCGCGAACACCACGTGCTGTGTCGAAACATGCAGCCAGGCGGAGGCCTTTCCAATGTCCTTCTTGCCATTTCAGCCGCAGTTCTTGGCATCAGGGGCACGAGTGGCAGGGTTGCTGGCAGCAGGGATGTCACTCGAGGAGGAAGGCCAGTTGCAGGCAGCCCTTGAAAAGTATCAGGAGGCTGCACGACTTCCCAAAGACGCCGGCTTGGCTGTTCAGCGCTGGGCTGCACGTGCCGGACTCTTGGGAGCATTCCTTCTCCTGCAGTACAAGCAAGCTGACAAAGCGCTGCTGATGATACGAGACAGACAAGGTACCCAGCTTCTCGCAAGCAGGGATCCCTGGGCCGCGATGATGGTGGGCCACGTGCATGAGTTGCTTGACGATTTGGGAGGTGCTGCAACATGGTTCGAACATGCGGTCGAGAACTGGCCAACAGCTCCTTCAATGTTGTGGAAGCCGGAGGAGCATCAGGGCGCTTGGATCAAAACACGTCTGTCATGGCTTCCTGCCACCCATGGCTCTGAGAAAGAGGCTGTGGAGGCGATAGAAAACTTCACGGCAGGGCTCAGTGCGCTGATCGTAGAAGAGGGGGCACCTCTGAGAGGAAGAGCCTGTGGCATACCAGCTGCTTTTGACACCCGTTCCGTGGAGATGACTCGCTTGACTTATCTCGGGCCGGCACTCGTCCCGCACTTGCCCGAGATTGCATCCGCATTCTCACGACTTCATCTACGGTCACTTCGAAAACTGGGCTTCGACGCCGCCTTGCACGGGGCTACAGACGGCCTTCGCAAGTCCCCAGAAGTTCGGGTTGGATTTGTCTCTGGACTTTTTGGCGATAGTGCCGTGGGCAACTTGGCCAGAGGGCTCATTTGGCCTTTGCCAAAATCCGTCTGGGTTGCTCTCTTGTGCCTCGGACATTTACAGCGCAAGTCCCCAAATTCGGCAGCAGTCGCGGAAGCACTCCTCGAGCGTGCGGATCATGTAGAAGAAGCATCCTACTGGAGCTCGACTTCGCCTGGCACGCCGAAGGAGCTGGGCCGCACCAGGACTGCCATCTTGAGTCTGGAGCTCGATTGTCTGGTGTTCTTAGAAATTGGTCTGGACGTGCGAAGTTTCACTCTGGCTCACAGCCGTCTGGCACCACTGCAGATGGTTACCTATGGCCATGCGTCCACCACCGGTATTCCGACCATCGACGCATTTCTCAGCTTCGAGGCTTTCGAGCCAAGTGAATGGCTTCAGGCCCAGAGCCAGTACAGCGAGCAGCTCCTCCTGCTGAAAGGATTTCCTTTGTTCTTCCCGAGCACCGTTCCCGAACAGGCGGAAAAGGGTAGGTCTACCCTTCGCTGGGCCTCGCTGCTGGAGAGCTCTGGCTCTGGCACCTGTGCCTTGACAAAACCCTCCGAGCGCGTGTACCTGGTGGCACAGACGCTGTACAAGCTCGTACCGGCATTTGATAAGGCGCTGGTGGGAATTCTCAAGGCGGACCCGGACCCAGAGGCTGTTTTAGCGATCCGGGTGGGGCACCCGCAGCCGGAAATCCACAAGCGCATTGCCTCCAGGCTTGCCCTTCAGCTGGAGCAGTCCCAGCTGGCTCGTTTGTGCTTCCTCCCGATGCAAAATGCCAGCACCTACTTCTGGATGCTGAAACACGCCTCTGTGGTTCTTGACACATTCCCTCACGGTGGTCACACAACCACACTTGATGCCTTGAGTGCTGGCGTACCATTGGTGACCCTGAAAGGACAGCATCTTGCTGGAGGTTTTGCTGCAGGATTCATCCGAACCCTCTTCAAGAAGAGCCTTCCATCCGTGAGGAGTTGCTGTCTGGCCCTGACTGTGTCTGACTACGTGAAGAAAGCGGTGCTCCTAGCCTCCAATCGCGACTTCTCCGAGCAAGCCTCTTGGTGTCGCAACTTCTGCTGGCAAACCATAGGATCCGTTCTCGAGTACCCCTCAATAGCCCGGATGTCAGTGAATAATGAGGTTGGGTCCTGGATCAGAGAGAATGCTCTGTCGCGGGTCTTCCACCGGCGCGACGGAGCTGAAGCCTTGGCAGAGCTCTTACTGGCGGTTTCGGGGAAGCGCCAAGAAAAAGGAGATCAGAAGG